CAATAAAAATGCTCTAATGTTTAAAAGAATACCTTTATATTTAAAAATAATATCTCTGTAATAACTTTTTTTTATTGAGTTTCAGGACATCTGATTATTTTAAACTGTAAAACAATCGTTACTTGACTTGTACTAATCACCATTTCCCGTGGAAAAGAATGACATTTTCTTGTAAAACTATTTCATACAAGCATAAGAAAATGCTTAATTTGTGAAAAATTCTTCTAAAGATGTATGAATAAGTTTAAAGTGCTTAATTTATTTATTTTTCTGGAGAAAAATAAATTTCGAAGTTTCGATCGTTTCATTTAAATATGCATCGAAACTCTAGAATACGCATTTTTAAAAAAACATTTCACACAGTAAAGTATGATTTATCTAATGCTGTCATTTGTTCAGGAGTATATTATGGAGAGTAATCGTTCTCTTAGAAGCGAAACTTAATTCTCTTGTTTTTAAACATTTGAAAATTTTTTAAAAAATTCAAAATTTTACAAGGTGTAATGAAAATATTGGTTATAAACTTGAACTTCTTTGCTTATAAATAACCAAATGAATAAATTTTATGTTTCTAACTGCAAATGATCACATGAACGAAAGCATAATGCTAATAAGTAATAAATGGAAGACCAACAACTGTTGGCCTTTCTTCTTGAACAACATTTTATGTAAACATACCTTTATTGATATTTTCCCCTGTATTTTCTGAAGTTATAAGCAGACGGTCGCACGAATATCAAGTAAGAAAAAAAAATTCTCATCAACATGTTAAAATTAGGGGTTCATTAAAATTTTTGATTTCATTCTAATGCTTTCGGTAAGAGATTATGTTAAATTTTGTGATTAAGATGACTTTTGAAATAAAAATGTTTTTCTAAAATTCCTCATAAAATAATTTTAAAATAAATAATCTTTACAAATAAAATGATTAAAGCTATAAACAATATATGTGATCCAAACACGGAAAAATGGTAGGTAAAAAGCTTTAAAATAAACTATGATCGAGCATCCTCGGTACATTTGAATATGCCCAGCCTCCTGAAAATAAATATAATCATTATGCTATCTTTTGTTGGAACGTTTCGTGTTAACGATTTTTGCCCGGTTCTTCTCGTGTCCAAAACTGCATAATGGCATTTTTTTTTTTTTTTTTTTTTTTTTTTTTTTTTTTGCTGTTGATTCGTTTTTCGTTATGTTCCGTGTTATCTTCTGTTGTATTCATTTTGTTTAGCTCGCATCTAATAAAATAATATTAAATAAATAAATGTTGCGAGTAACGGAATACAAGCGAATTTCTTTCGTATCTAATAAGAAAATCTTATCTAAAAAAGTATTTTCCCGATTTTTAAATTAATGAAGATAAGAAATCTAATTTCTAAGTTTAAGGTCAACAATACGTTACGGCATCTAGATTCTGTCCTGATGTTAGGAATTAATCTCTTCTATAAGCGTTTGTAAATTTCGGTTTCTGTTTGTGTGTGTCTACAAACCCAACTTTTGAAAAAGTATATATGGTTCAAGCTTGCCTTATCTGCTTAGAGAAATCAGTACAAAATTCGAATTTTTAGGTTTAATTAATTTTTAGGATTAATCACATCTCAATCATTTGTTTAGCATCTCTATTCCAACGTATAAGATCCAGAAATTTTTCCTGGGGAGGGTCATAGACTCAGATTCCCTCCTCCCCACAATAATTTTTTTTTATAAAAAAATTTTTTTGAAAAAAAAGCTGGGGTTTTTAATGCTAGTCTTCTCATTTATTTTTTTCATAATGAACAATAGAACAATACATAAATAATTCAAGTATTCAACATCTTTAAATAATAAATGTAATGCTTTTTTTTAGAAACTTTGACAAATCTGTTAGTGATTTTTTCAACATCCAAATCAATTTCTCGATGAATGTTTAATAATGCGAGTCCATTTAATCGTTCTTGTTTTTGAGTTGCTCTAAGCCAAGTTTTGCGACGTCGAAGAATTGAAAAGGAACGTTCTGCTGTTGCTGCACTAACTGGCGGAGTTACTAAAATTCTCAACAACATATTGATTGATGGGTACATATCGATGTCACAGGCATTTATAATCTTGGAAAGATCGTTGGGCACTTCAAGTCCTGCTTACAAGTCTTGAAACAGTGAAGAACATAATTAGATGGAGGAAAAAAAATCGATTTTTCCGACCTGCATAGGTGTATATGACCCCTTAAATAATTTTTGAAATATTTTATTTCTTTTGTAAACCATTGAAAAAATTATTATTTTTATTTTTTTCAATTTTGGGGGTCATAACCCCTATGCCCCCCCTTCCCCCGCGTATAAGCGAATACTGTCATTCAGTTTAATTGTACAAATATTCTTCTATTATTATTTCTTTTATTGAAATGTGTTTTTGTGTTAGCTATTTTTTGTCAGCGGTTAATTCGAGTTATATCTTGCAAAAGATGAACTGTTTGTTATACTAGACTTTGTAACTTAATGGTGGGTAATACCTTTCGCCAGTGAAACGTATCTACTTTCTTGGGCATGCCTTGCTGTTACACTCAACTGAGCAAAAAATAACTTGAGCATAATGCAATTCTCGTTTTTTTTCGCCAGCCGACAATGTTTAGGAAATGAGAAAGTGACAAAATCGTTTATGCTTCGCAGAGTTGAATAAATGACTGAAGAAATAAAAAGAAAAAAATTGTCTTGACATAATGCCTTTCCTTTCTTTATCTTTTTCTGTAACTAATCACAGTATTATTCCGTTTTAATGGGTGTAATAAATCACAGTATCTATAACCACAATACCATTAGTAATTATTATCATAATTGATTAAGCATCACTGGCATTAATAATAGTTTGGATGTTTTTTACGGTCCTCCGAAACGCAACAGTTCTCTAATACTTATACTTTGCATTTTTATTCGTAGTACCGTCAAAGCATTAATTTTAAACGCATACCAAATGTAGTTAGAGGGGGAGAGGAGATTATCATGATTGACTTTTTAACTAAATTTTTAAACCAATACTTTGATATTAAGCTAAAGTAATTGTTTATACCTATATAATTAAACATATTTCTAATAATTTTTTACGAGGTGCAGTCAGTATCTACTAAATTTGGTTTTTACAACTTATAGTTGGGAAGAAAAAATACGCCTATCTATTATATTTATATTTTTCGTTTTCAGCCATTTTTTTTTTTAGTTATAATTACTGAAAGATTTCGAGTTACGATTTGTATAAACAACTTTAATATTCATTTGCTTAATTATTCTTTAATATGTTACTCAACTGATTATAAAATTTAAGGTTTTAAAAATTTGAGAAACAGTTTATTTTAACAATAGTTGTGATGAGACTTTAAAGAACGAAATGTTATTGTCTTACCCTTCAAAGAAAAAGCAATAGCAAAAGTTTAGCAAAAGCTCGTTGATTTGTGAAAATATTACAATAAAGGAAAAACTTTTTTTTGTATAAAAGATTCAAGAAAACATGTGATACTGTTTCTTGATGTTTGTTATAACCATGACTTATCATTTTTAGATGTTTTCTTTGTTACTCTATCGTTGTTGTTGTAGTTTTACTCGCTGTTTCAAAGTTTCATATTTGCTGATTCAATCAATAATAGTGTGAATTATTCTCGCACACTTGTGGGAATAACGTCACAATTAATAATAACTAATTTGATGTGTGTAGCACGAAGTGTATTTTCACAAATAAAGTTCTTTATTTAGTTTAAATATTAAATTAAATATTTAATTACTTGCCTAAACTAAAACTAATTAAGATGCGGATTAATTAGATTTAGTTTAAGTTGTGTATAATTGATGAGAATAAACTAAATTTGCCTTGTTATCATGCACGCAACAATTAATATATTTTTTAATTTGAAGGAAATACGTTTGTTTATTGTATGATATATTTAGACGTTAAATATTTAATGTTTATAGATAATATTTATAAATTAGATGCTTTGAATGTCTGTTTAGATTGACTGAAATCTTTTTGTTAATTTTAAATGTTCTGGGTTTGAGCTTGCTTTGTGTCTGCCAAAATGTCACGACACTTCTCGTTTTCAGCAAAAAATATGCAATATTTTTCTTTCACTAAGCGAATAAATGTAGCGTTAGCTTTGGTTTCAAAAGTTTGTAAGTCTTTGAAGTCAATATACTATTATTCAAAAATAAATATAAAATATATAGTTGGACGTAAATATGCATTCTATAAAATCCCTTTACATAATCTTTCATTCACATCTAGCTAAACATTTATTATAATTTTAAATGTTATTGAAGTGCTTAGCGTTAGAACTTGTTAACACGTTGCCGCAAATGACGACTTTAACTATCTGGTTTTTGGCGATATATAGCCAAGTGACGACTATAAGCCGACCTTACACATTTTAATGAATAAAAAAGGGAACATCATTAGTACGAAGTGTACTGGTGCATTTATATGTTAATTTATACATCGAAAAAAATGAGATGTAATATTCCATCATTTCCTCTTGGAAATTTAAAAAAAAAAATGTGATGAGCAAAGGACGGTTACAACCGTCGAGTTTTCATGGAAAAACTGTGACAAAATGTGATTATCTTCCGTAAAATTTCCATGATGTTTATACATATTTTAAAGTTGATTTTCCCAAATTTTCTTAAAATTTCACTTAATTAATAGTCTTAAAATTCACATAATCAATAATTAAAATCAATTTGAACTTTAATTAGCAGTAATGAATTTTCCCCTTAGTATTTAAATTTAAAATATCGCAGGAAAAGGGGAGAATACTATAGATTTAATGTATACATCCGCATAATCTTGTAAAAAAAGTTCTGGAGTGTCCGTCACATATAATAGCATTGGATATGCTCTTTTTAATAAGAACGGGAAAAGATAAATTGATTTTACTTTGTCTTCTCTGTGAAAAACTTATTTCTGTTGTTAGCACCACTGCCTTTTTTGCTTTTGATTAAGAGAGTGTTATTTGATTGTTTGTGTATAATTTAATATTTTAGGAATCTAATAGTGATGGGGAGAGAAAATATCCCAAGTCTGTATTCTTCATTCTCGGCAATGAGTTTTGTGAAAGATTCTGCTTCTATGGAATGCGCAGTAAGTTTCTATATTAATTTTCTTGCAATTTTGATTACGAGTGCCAGTTTTAGGAGGGTTTTTTTTTAAGACTTCATCCTTCTGCTAAAATTTGTAAAATTAATGTGTAAGATGTTACGTAATGACCACCTTTTGTATATATTTTTTTCAAACCTGAAGTAGACAAAAGTATGCACGTTAGGGGTAATGTTTTAACGAGGAAAAGGCAAAAACGTTATCAATAATCTGACGAATCCGAATCACTAGTGAGGAAGATGGAGTGTAAAACATAAAAATCAACCTAGTGAAATGAAACTACAAAATGAAACCCAGTGAAAACTACTGAGTTTCTAATAGTCACCTTAAAAATCCTGTTTCCTCTGACTATGAAAATAGCTTTATTGTTTTCAGTTCAGTTCAGTTCAGTTTCCTCAATTTATAAACAAGTTAAAAACAATGACTCTTATAAGATGCAGGAACACCTTAATGCTTGCATATTTTTAGAAGGCAATAAAATAGATCCAGCACATTTACTCTCTAACTCAATTGTTGCCAACTTAGGCAGACAAATATCTGTTACCAATCACATATATATGCATGGATAATATACTCTTCCAAATCACACCTTATTTATTAAAATTTTAATACGTAATTTACCATTTTAATACCATGGTATTAGTAATAAGAGGCATAAACTTAGGTTAATTAATATTAAAATTATTGTTTTTTTTTTAATTATTTTTATAAAGTATGAAGCAAACAAACATTGTTATGGGTTTAAAAAAAAACTTTCAAAGAATTTTAATGCATTTAGTACCTCTTTTACCTTTAATACAAAATTAATCAGCATATGTCTGTTAATGTTTCTCCCAAGAGAATTTTTTTTTTTATTAATGTGCCATTATACTTCATGCTTAATTTCATACTTTTTTATATGCTTCTCTATTTTATACTTGATTTCAGCATTGCATTGAATTTTCAAGTTTAAGTCAAATAAATTTCTGCTATGAAATTTGTATTAAAAATTTATCTTATTTATGTTTTAATATCACTTCTAAATCAATTTTTAATTATATTATAATCGAATTTAAAATTATCAGGTAGAATTGAATTATTTCAAATCAAGCTATTTATACTTATGTTTCATGTTTTTTATCTTATTTTTATATTTTTTTAAAACTTAGTATCAAATAAATTGTTAATTTTTCAACATAGTTGAGGAAATATGATTTATGAAACTCAATAAAAGAAAAAGGAATATCAGAAAGTTCTAAGAAAGAAAAATAACACTACTCATTACTTATTAACAAATTATTTCAAATCAACGATAATAAATGCTTTGATAATGAGTAAAATAAAAAATATAAATAGTAAGTATTTATTAGAAGTAGATAATTGGATTAGAGAAATTTTGTTGGAAAAAGAAAAGAAATTTCTTTGTTACCACAACCATTATTGTTGTTCTACTTCTTTGTTAACAAACACCACCAGGGGTCATATCTCAATAACTAACTAAATGACTATAATACTAAATCGTTGAGGCCAAATTTCATAAAAATTTATGGTACAACTTTTACTTGAGCTGTAAAAAACCGTCTATCATTGACACCAGTAATAAGTAGGTTTTTTAGCAGTTCCCCAAAATGGAATAAAACCAATTTCATTGATTTTTTAAGATGCCAAAAATAAAATCCACATAAAATTCTTTTATTTTTATTAATTTTAGTACTTTAAATGATATTATTTCAATTCCATTTCAGCAATTCTCATGATTTATTTCACGAAGCAGCTCCTTTACAGTGAAAACACATCCACCATGCTGTACCATCTGTTTGTTATGCTTGCCTATTTTACTCCTGTTTTGGGTGCCATCATTAGCGATTCCTGGCTAGGAAAATTTAGGTAACAATGTTATCTATTTTTAATAAATTTATTAAATTAGGAGAAGTTAAAATTCGGTCTTTGGTTTTTTAAGACTAACTGGATTTATTTCCTGTAATTATACTTAAGGAACAAAAACATCTTCATTCATGCATTTCAATTTAGATAAAAAAAATTTGATGGTTTGAAAAAAACCTGGTTCATGATTATTTTAAGGTAAATTATTGACAAAATATATTGATTTTTATGAAAATTGAAATAGTTTTTTTAGTCATGCTAATTTTGATGTAAGAAACAATTTTATTTTTTTATATTTTGTGAGTTTGGTCTAGCAATTTGTTTGTTGCTTTGATGCTTACTTATAAAAACAGCTGTTTTGCCTTTTCGTTAATTTTAATTATTACCATAGTGAGTAACTATTAAACTTTATAATTAAAGTTTAATAATTTTACCCATAACAATAATATTATAACATGGGTTCTAAACAAAAATAAAAGCATAATTTCACTAATAAGACACTAACTTGCGAAAACTGTTATCATCGCTTTTTGATAGCATGCATGTTTCTAATGGAATTAACCTTTAAAAAATTAATCATTTTTAGTTAAATATAGGCTCTACAGCATCTAGACCAGCTGTTTCCAATTTTTTTCAGCTGTGGATCACTAAATTATCGAGCTTTGGCTGAACCCCTTTATTTAATGAATAAATTTTATTAGCAAATGTGAATACATGTTAACGAAAGTCTATTAATTATTTTGAAAATATGTTATGATCTAAATTTTATTAATTATTTTAAAAATATTTAGTGAATCATCATTTAATTTCATCATATCATTTTATCAATATTAGTCTTAAAATTGGTTTTAATCTCAGACAGTTGAACTCACAGGTCTGGAGTGGCATCTAGTCAAGTTCTTCATTTGACTTTAAAACATGCGTATTCTGAAAATAAAATAGCTGAAATATGGTTTAGATTAAAATAAAAATGCAAAAAACAACAACATGGAAATGGATTATTTGCGAAACATACTTCGACGTTGTTAAATTAAATTTTTATGCGATTTGAAATACTAATGGAATTTTTCATAAATATCTTTTTCATTATTCCGTTATTATATTGTTATTAGAAAAATCATTGCTTTAAAATTTCTTTCTTCACAAGCATTTTAACTAAATAATTTTATAAAAATAACAGAAATATTAAATAAATAATGAATTATTAATTGGATATAAATTTTATTGGTTTCAAAAATTTTTATTGGTTAAAAAAAGAATCCTAACCCTCGGAGCCCTAGGGCTCTGCGGAACAGCATTTGGGAACCCCTGATCTAGACACCATTTTAATCACAATCCTTTTTGTATTCTCCTTACTTTCCTTTTAGTATTTGTGACAGATTTAGTTTATAATACTGACTCTTATTTTGTTAATCTAAGTATTTAATGTTGTCATTTGCAATATAGCCACTTCTAGTAGCATTGCGCTTGAAAATGTTGCCATTAAACACTATGTTCAATCAGTGTGGTCAAATAACAAGCATTTTAGTAGCTGTGATTTGTAATTGCACTTGCCAATAAAATTATAGTTCCTCAATGTGAACTTTTTTTTCGATTGTTAGGTACACTACGAGCATTTCTAAAGTACACATAATCATACATGTATTTAAACAATTCTAAATTAAATTTATAACCGTTTGTCAAAAATCAATAAATAGTTGTAAATTTTAGGAATAGAAAATTTTTGATAATTAAAAATGGACCTACACAACAAATTTTCATATTTTTATGAAAATTTAGTTTAGGTATAAATTTTGATATGATTAATTTTTTAAAATTTTACTATGACTTGGGGAACATTTTTGACTGAATTAGTATAGACTGATTTCTTCAAAATTCCTAGTTTACTTACGATTTTCTCTCAGTCCAGCCCTGAACTTATATATGTCAGAAAATGCAACAAAAAAAAATCGTTTTTAATTATTTATGACCACTTTTGGCTTTTCGGGTAAAAAAGAAAAAGAAAAAAAAGTATACTGTACTATAGACTTTAGTTTAAACCCAATTAAAGAAAAACTTTATTTTGATCAAATGTTTCACTCATGAATTAATTATTTTTCAGAACTATTCTCTATGTTTCAATTATTTATGTAATTGGAAATATTGTGCTTTCTGTTGGAGCTTTCCCGTTTTCTTTGGATCTTATGAGGTATGTAATCAATAATTAAAAATTTCTGATTCATTTTTAAGAACTTTTATTTTCCTTATCTCTCTTTATTTAGTTAGACTTTCCCATTATGCATTTTTCTTTGCTTTATTTTTAAAAGAATTATTTAAGTCAATAAATGTGTTTTAATTTGCCATCAAAAAGTTTTTCACATAGCTTCTGATCTTGTTTCAAGCATATTTAATAATTCTTTTCATTAATTGGAGTTTTCTTATGTTGATCTTAAATATAAACACCCACATGTTGTGTTACAATTTCAATAATTTGTTATGTTATATTATACAACCTATTCACTCAACTATTAATATTGATAAAATTATGCTTTAATAACAAAATTATATATTATTTAAAAGAAAAATTTTTTTATTGCTATATTACATGGGTAGCTCATATAATCTATTTTTACTAGGACTGTCAGTCTTTTGGGACTTGTCGTGATTGGTATTGGAACTGGAGGAATAAAACCATGTGTCTCGGCATTTGGAGGAGATCAGTTTCATCGAGATCAGGTTTATTCTAGTTTTTTGTAATTTTCTCTACTTAGTTTTTTGTAATTTTGCTAATTTGAGAAATTTTCAAACTCTTGCTGAAGCTGTTTGCTTCAACTGTCTCATTTGTGAATTATTTATATTATTAGTGATTTTTTTTTTAATTTTCATTGAAACTATTTATTATTATTTTCAATTAACCTTTCCCACACTAAAAAAAGTTTATTGGTAGATGTGAGTTTTTTTGTAATATAAATAAAATCAAAATGTATATTAATCTTTAACCAATATACAATAATTCTTATATGTAATATTATAATAAATAATATTTATTTGTAATAAATATAATATAATGTTTATATGTAAATAATATTTATATGTAAAAATTTGTTTAAACTCTATTAAATTTAATTCATTTGTCATTGACAATTATGTAAATAAAAGTTCTGCCTGTTAATGAGAACTTAGTATTAATATGTTTGGTTTTGTTGGTTATATGCCTGTGCCATCTCACACCATCTAAGTTAACCTTTGCCCAATCCTTATTTTTTTTGCCTACAATCAGTATATTATAGATATACTTTGACATTGTCCTTGAAAATCTTAGTTCTCTATAACTTTTCAAACATGATAAAATGTATAGTTTATGCCTCAAATGACTTCTGATTGCTCACGATCAGAGACATCATATTCAAATATTTCGTCCATACTAGCAATTGGAACGACTACTTGCTTTACATACTGTAACCGCAGTATCCTCTCATGTACATAAATAAATGAGATTCGGTGCTTCACAGTTTGTTGCACTGTCTAATTAATAATTTCCTATTTTATTAAAAATATCAATTTCCAGTTTAATTCTGATGTAGTATCACTTGTCCCATTTTTTCCAAAATCCTCAGAAACATTTTGGGTGACTTAACTTGGAACCTTTATATGTTGATTTTGATTCAAAATAAACCAAGTTTTGTTCCTTATAAATTAATTTTGGTTATTTTAGGTATAAATTTGATAATTTATAATAAGTATAAATTTAATAATTATAATTAAAGTATAAGTTTGATAATTTATAATTAAAATAAATTTGATAATTTAAGTATAAATTTGATAATTTATAATTAAAACAATTGAATAATGTAAGCATGTTTTTAAATAAAATTTTGATGCTTCCTAGTTGTTTTGTAATTTTTTAATTTTTATTTTTAGGTTCAACAGCGTGAACGTTTCTTTTCTATATTTTACTTCATGATAAATTGTGGTAGTGTTTTTTCTACACTTTTAACTCCTGTTCTCAGATGTAAGTTAAATTTATATTCACTGATTTTAGATATGTTGTTTGTTATGCTAAGATTGACTCAGTAAGAAAAATATTAACGTGATAATTATTTTAACTTTTAAACAAATAATGCTCATTAATAAATAACTAAGAAATGTAACAGAACATCTAAAAGGTAGCGATGATAAACACTTCTAAAGATTTTAATATTAGTAATAATTTTAATAATTTTCCAGCTTATAATAAATAAACTTTATAATTTAGAAAAAACAAAAAATTAAAATTGTATTTTTTTGAAATATTTTTATATTTGCAGCAGAATCATGTATGGGTCAAGAAACTTGCTTTCCATTAGCTTTTGGGGTACCAGCAGCATTAATGGTTGTTGCTTTGAGTAAGTTCTATTTATTATATGTTAGTATATTTTTGTTTAACTTTATTTAGTGGTTTTTATTTCACAATTTAATCCAAATTATTAACAATCTAACTGTTCTGTTTATTGTGTACAATAAAGTTTTTATTATACATTATTGTTGTTACATTTGTGTAAAATGTAAATGTATATTTAATCTTTGTTATTTCATATTATAGTTATTATAATCAGTATATTATTATATTTAAATCTTTTTTAAACATTATTTCCTATTAATCGAAATACATTATATTCTTTTAATATTTTTAAAAACTGTAAATACTCTTTTTGATGCTGAAATGACAGAAAAAAAGTTTTATATTTCTGAAATATATTGAAATAATAACTATAAATTACTTATTAAAATAATAAAATTCTACAATATTTGTAAATTTAACTTATGTTTAGAAAATCGCTCGTTTGTCTTTAAAAAATGACTGTTTTTATAGCGTTATAAATTGTTTACTAAGAGTTCAGTGTAAATAGTTTTTCAAATGTTGTTCATTATTTGATATGAATTAATATTTTTGTAAGGAACACATCTAATTAAGTTTTTTTCTTATAAAAATTAGTCCTGTTCCTTTTGGGAAAACCTCTGTATATCATAGAACAGCCTAAAGGAAACGTGTTGACATCAGTTGTTGGGTGTATGTTTGTAAGTTTTCTTTATTTTTTTTTTATTATATCTTTTCCATTTATATATAAGAATTTGGGATCCTAACCAGAATTTCACTTTGAACTTCATTAGGTAAATTTTAATTTATAATTGAAAACGTTTTTGTGCTATAAATGATAGTTTATAATATGTATTTTACTTTATTTTACAACTTCTAGTTTTTAATTTTTTTAAATAATTAATTTATTAATTGCTTTTTAACTACTAGTAGAGGATTTGCCAAGACTTTATGTTCTAGCATTGTTTATACTTATTGAATGCTCATACAATCGATGCTTGCCCCTGTGGTCCAAACGAAAACAATCACTATATCGTGAGCACATAAAATTGGTGCAATATTTACTTCATCAATTCTGGATTTATTTTAGCAAAAACATGCTGCACTTTAGAAGTATGTAACTGACAAATGCAGTTGCATCTGCAAATTGCATCTTGCATCTGCAAATTACATCTTGCACATAAACTTTAGCCAGTCATTCAGTGGTTTTTCTGGATTTTGAAATTTTGCGTTTCAAGAACAATGTCAATAGTGTTAAACTAGTCTTTGTTCTAATAATTAACTAATTTTCAGAGCAAATTATGCTTAAAAAATAATTCCATTATTTTAATTTCATCTTTTTGCTATTGATTAGTACATCCTGAATTGAATCAATAATGCCACTGTCATTTCTTCTTTAAGTCTCATAAATATCTGGGACCTTGGAATGTTAAATCAATTTAAACATAATTATATCATATTTTTTTGAAAAAAAAATGGTAGTGAGATGATAGTTTTCTTTTAAAATCAAGTTAGTATTGAAACAATTAAAATCTTTTAAACAATTAAAATCTTTTAAATTTATTTGTTAATATATCCTGAATACTCTTAGACATAATTTAAATTCTTTTCCCTTTGTTGTTTCATAAACTTTTGTAACTTCTAAAATATTTATTGATAATTAGGTAGTTTTTCTATTTATTGCTCAAAATCTGTTTAGTATATTTGTTTGATACCAAAAAGATAAAGTTTCGAATTCAATAAATTGTTAATTTCTTTTATTAACTTTTGTATGTCTCTTAATCGTATATCTCTTATTGATCTTTTTTGAAAAAGTATACATTCGAGCTTGTTTTCTCTCATCATTTTTGTTGTTTTGAGTACATAACATCTTGAAACTCTTTGTATTGCTGCTGTTTATATAATATTTACTGCCTAATTAAATTTATTGATTACTACATTATGATTAATAAATGTTACATATCTGAAATTGATCAACTCATTCAAGAAATTTAAATGTTTTATAGTTTATTTTTAAGTTTCAGCTGCATATAATTTATAAATTTTTTTAAAATTTTAATATCTGAACAAGAAGCTAATTTAGGTATCTATAATTTGTGTTTTGCTTTATAGCTAATTTATATTCTATTTACGTAGCATGCAATAAAAAAGAAATTCAGCAGCAGTGAAAAGAAGAAAGATCACTGGTTAGATTATGCTGAAGATAAATATGATGTAATTATACTTATAAACTTTTTCCATTAAACTTTATCATTTAGTATGCTCATGAATAAAATTATATATAACTGTTATTTACAGAAAAAATTGATCGCAGACATCAAGATCGTGTTGCATATTCTTGTACTCTACATACCATTGCCTATTTTTTGGGCACTATTTGATCAAACAGTAAGTGCGAATTACTTATTTTAATTTTTAAATGTGGGTAGTTGCCTTATAAAGAAAGGCAAAGCTTGTACAATGCATTAAATAATCTTGTATCATTTGGTGTGTCTATATTTTAAAAGAGTACAGAGAATAACCTTCTTATTACAACTGTTATTTATCTTTTTATTGAGTTATTTTTTGAATTTTTCAACATAGACAATTTTCAACATAGACAATACAATTTAAGACGGCTTTATTTATGACTTGCAGTTAAGAAAATTTTTAAGCTTCTATTAGGTTAGTATTTCCAGTCCAAAATTTATATTTAAAAACAAAAATTCTTCGAGTTGTCAAATAATTCTTAACTCTACAATTGTTGTAAATATTTTTTCTGTAGTTGTATTAAATTTAATCTTTAAAAATATGCATCATCTTCCATAACTTAACTAAAAACTTTTAAATTAATTGAAAATAATATAGAAAAGTTTTTTTTATTCCTATTAAACATTTTTATTTATTTTAATGGAAAAGTTACATTAATTTAACGAACTAAAATGATCATAATGTTAGTTGTTAGGTACTGTTTAAATCTGAAGTGTAAAAAAACTTCTTTATATAATATATTCCTTTTTTATAATTTTAAAAAATGTTTTAAAAAGATATCATTTCTTGTTTAGTCAGTTAGAGCATTCAGTTTAAAGTTGTATTAATTCCTGTATCTTTCAAATTTTTAAAAATATTCTAAGGATAATTATGATACATGTTGTCTGCTCTGCTCCTGGTATGTACCATGAACTGTAACAATTAACACTATCTGTTACAATTACACTATGTTGAAAATCTGTCTTTACCCCAGATTTATTACTCACACTTACTTTGTATTTAAAACTGTAAAATGAATTGAAAATAGATAAAATAAATAGTAAAACTAAGCATTATGCTACTATTACTGGACGTAGTATTTAATTTTTTCAAAACAATGGAATCAAAGTTTAGAAAGTTTTAAAATGCATTGATAATTAAGAAATTAAAAATAAATACTAAGTATTTCAGAGTATCAGCATATGTTTGAAACATACTTTACATAAATTTTCTTTTGCTGTTACCCTACTTTGAAAAGAAATATATATATATTAAATCTTAAGTTTTGTTAAATTATATAATCAGTTTTTCTTAATGGAATTTAATAATTTTTTTCACTTGTATTAAATATTCCTAAAGCTATTATCATTAATGCTTTATTATTCACTGAAATATCTTTATTCACAGGGTTCTCGATGGACATTACAGGCAACAAAAATGGATGGAGAATTTGTAAATATGCTTTCTAATAGTTTAAATATAATTTTACATACAGTTATTATACATTTTAAATGCAGTAACTATACATGCAGTTTGGGAGGGCGAGTCAAGGTAGTTCATGGTCTACTCAGTCAATTATCCCACTTGGGGTTGCATTACCCACCAACTAAGCTTACGTTCCAAACTATTGCAAACTATCTATAACACCTCAGCTCTAAAAGGATACTAAATATTAGATAGGCAGCTTCTTCTATGCAGATCTTAATCTAACATATCTACAGGATAAAAGCATAAAGAAAGCACACTGATTATTAGACTTGCATTTATAAAATTCCAATCTTAATTATTTGTAAGATTGATCTTAAATGTGCTAATTATTAATTAAGTTTTGAAATCAGATACAAAAATGTAGTTTCCACTTTAGAAATGTACCATTTCTTATTTTCTGAGTCAAAAAGTCACAATTAAATGGTAAAATATTTTTAAAAAATTTTGAAATCTTAACAAAACCCATTAAAATTTTTTAAATATTACTTCTTTTTGCATTAAATAAATTCTAAATTATGAATCTCATAGATTACTAGTGGTTTAAAATGGGTAAAAACATTGGATTTTTATTGTATTATTCATATAAATACAGCTTAATCATAAAAACTTGAAGACTTTTCATTAGAGTAACTAAAAGTAAATCAAACTAACAATGTTTTACAAAATATAGAAGCATGTATATCAAATATTGATAATACTGTAAAATTATAAAAATAAATATTAATTACAGATATTTAGTGCTGGCACTGTGCCCAGAACCAGACCAGATGGGCCCAAACGATAATAAGGCCCTACTCTTTATAAAAAGTATCAATCACTATGGTCCTTCTTTTAATTATATGAAAAATCTGAAACATTACTATAAAAATAATAAATTTAGCATAAAATAATCTCAAATAAAAACTGAAATAAAGTATTTAAGAAAAGTGAGCCAAAATTTTTAACAGTCATTTTTCAAATGAGGAAATTCTGTTACTGCAGAGTTTGTTGATATTAGAAATTATAAATTGATGACGCTTAATAGTGTACAACATCGTTAAGTGACAAAAATGGTTATGTTGCACTTCATAGCATTAAAAATAAAATTCATTTTAATAAACTGTAATGCTTGGATAGAAACTTTTATTTTTAATTCATATTTAGATTTCCTAGACTTTTTCTTCATTCTCATACTTTCAAACAATAATTTATGAAGTTTTTAAAATTATATCCTTTTTGCAGTTTGGCACAACCATTAAACCTGATCAGTTACAAGCTGCAAATCCTATATTGATCCTCATTTTCATTCCACTTTTTGACTATGTTGTGTATCCAGTACTTGGGAAATGCAGATTACTCACAAAGTTTGTATTTTACTGTACTTATATTATGTTGGAAACAGTATTTCGTAATAAATCTTTGAAAATGTTATCTCAAAATTTTAAAAATTGTTTGTGTTAACCAAGCACTAATATTAAAAAAAAAACAATATATATATATATATATGTGTGTGTGTGCGTGTTTATGCAGTACAGAACCTCTTATCCAGAAAACCAAAACGAAATTCGATAAATTTTCCCGCCATTTAAAAAAAATTTTTTTTTTCTTTCCTCATAACATTTTAGGATTTTTCTTTCTTTTTTAAAAAATGTTTACCTTACCATCATTTTAGAAATAATCATTAGTGTATCACTTTATCGTTTTTTCTTCTTTTTAAGATTATTTCTAAATATTTTTCTTTTTAGTTGTGTTTGACAATAAAAAAAACGGCATTTTGTAATGATTCAAAAAACCGGAAAAATCAGTTATCCGGAATAGCGATGGTCCCATCGTTCCGGATAATCGGTTCCCTACTGTATATCACTTAGCTCCCAAAAATGACATACTCATGAAATAATTACTACTTCTGCTTTTATTGTTGCATCACAGCTCAAATATTAACTACTTATTTTGAAGCTGCCTTTAGCAATTCCCTGCATGCAAGACACGTGAAAGATTTTCTACTTCTAGTTTTTAATGTATCACAGCTCATATATTAACTACACACCTCAAAGCTACCTTCAGAAATCCCCTATATACACAGAACATGAAAGAATTACTACTTCTGGTTTTTAATGTATCACATCTCATATATTAACTACACACCTCAAAGCTACCTTCAGAAATCCCCTATATACACAGGACATGAAAGATTTTCTACTTCTAGTTTTTAATGTATCACAACTCATATATTAACTACACACCTCAAAGCTACCTTCAGAAATCCCCTATATACAAGGAACATGAAAGATTTTCTTCTTCTGATTTTTATTGTTGTATCACAGCTCATATATTTACTACCCACCTCAAAGCCACTTTCAGAAATTCCTTACATGCACAACACTCAAAAAATTACTACTTCTGGTTTTTTATTGTTGCATAACAACTCTTGTGTTAACTAAGCACTTCAAAGCTACCTTTGAAAATCAACTTCGCAAAAAACGAGTATATTCATCCTATGAGTAGGGGGTGGATCAGCTTGGATCGAACTGTTTATTTGTCTGTTAAATTTTTGGGATTTCAATAATTTGAGTTTTCAGTAGTTGCGGTTAGACCTGGCATGTCCACTTTTAATTATTGATCCTCTATTGTTACAAGAATATATTAAAATATTTTTCCATAGCAAAGTTCTTGAATAAAGTACTATGTGATCTGGTAATTACATGTAACTTAGTTTAGAAAGAACTCCCTTGAAAACTTTATAAGATTAAAAAATATACATAAGATTATTCTATAATATTTAATCATATATTAGATAAAACATATGAACCTAGAAACATATATAAGATTATTCTATAATATTTAATCTAACTGGAAAATTGCACTTATTTATAGGCCATTACAACGAATCACCATTGGAGGATTGCTTGCTGCCGTTTCTTTTGTAGTTGCTGGATTTCTGGAGCTGGGTGTTGAGGTAATTATCCTGACTTAGTATTTCGCCAAATAGACTAATTTTTTATCAGTTTTATTTGCATCTATTTAGATCATGAGCTAGTGAAATCAGTTAATATTGCAAGCAGGATCTTAAATTATTTTGTATGTAATATTATCAAACATTTTTTTTATTTAAAAGTATATTAAACTGCAGGAAAATTAAGAAACTTTGTTCTTCCATTTGAAATTGTTTATTGATTTGCATATAGACAAAATGTACAGTGTACTGAATAAAAAACGGACTACCCTGAATAACTTTTGATCTAATGATTGGATCTTCATGTTCTAGGGCTCATTCTTAGTGGTTCAGAGAGGTGACTTCAAATATGTTAATTAATTAGTACAGAAGATATTTTAAGTCACAAAATCAGACACAAAAAACATACTTTCTTTGAATAAACATACCTTTTTCCCCACAGATTCCAGTTTCTGTCCCCCATAATATAGGGACTCGCATATCTCGAGAATTTTTTAAGCGAATTGAAAATTTTTTGCACACACTTATAAAATTAGTTTATCCAAAGGTAATTCTATGCAAAAAATAAATTTTAGTATATATTTATTATTTTTTATCATTTTATATAATAATAGTCGAAAAAAATGTTTGAATTGTAAGGTATATTATAAGGTATAATATTTTTACATTATTTTAAAGTATATAATTTTGCATGGCAAAATAAAAAATTTGAGTGAAATAGGTTGAATATTTCCTGAGACATAGGATTTTAAAGAAGTTGTATAGTTGAAAATTGATTCCTCAGGAATTATTCAACCGATTTTGCTCAAATTTTTTAATTTGCCATTTAAAATTATATACTTTAAAATGATGCTGGAAATTGTATACCTTACTATTCAAAATTTTTACGATTATTATTAAATAAAATAATAAATATATACACTAAAATGTATTTTTTGTATAGAATTATCTTTGGATAAACAAATTTTATAAGTATGTGCAAATTTTTTTTTGATTCACTTAAAAAACTCTTGAAATATGGCTAAATACGCAAGAAGTAAAATCAACATTAAGGGGTCCAAATTTTGAACCGCTCTCCCGACCAAACTATGAGTACCACATTTCTCAAATTAAGGCTACCCCCTATATTTCGGGGGTCAGTAATCCGAATCAGTCCAAAAAAGGCATGTTTATTCAGAGAAAGTACGTTTTGGGGACTGTTTTTGTAACTTTAAATCTCGTCTGCACTAATTATTTAGCATATTTAAGGTCATTTCCTTGAACCATTAAGAATGATTGTGGAACGTGAAGATCTGATCATTAAATCAAAAGTAATTTAGAATGTCCTCTTTTTTGCCGCACTGTACATATAAAATTTTAAAATGGTACTTTACATTAAAATATGACTTTGAAAGTGATAAGTCCAGTTTTAAGTTATATTGATCTAATTTCTTTTTTTTAAAAAAAGAAGAATACTAGTGTTGAGGTTATTTTTCACTGCTCTTGTTTAGCCCTAACCCTTGTTTGATTCTTTAAGCCTCAACAAGAAACATAAAAATTTTCTTTTTTTGGTGTGGATATTTTGCTTAGTCTATTTTTTGTATTTAAACAAGCAATGAATTAAGAGTTGGAAACATCAAAATTTCAAATATCTCTACACTGCAGTTATTACAGATAAGAGTCATCCTGATATTTTCATACATACATCATTATAAATTTATTAATAAATATTACTTTATTTTCAGAGTACTTTACCAGTCCTACCGCAACCTGGTTTTAGTGAACTAACCATTATGAATTTAAATCCCTGCACAGTCAACATCACTGAACCTGAACACTATCTACTTAAAGCAAATGAAGTAATTTCTTTGACAATTTTACTCATTTTGATATCAATTTGTCGTTGATTTTCATAGTTTGAAGAAACATTGATTGTATTAATGCTAAATGTTAACTATGCTAAAATGTCTTTGATTTAATGATTTGTAATACTTAATTATTAAAAATGTAATCAAATTTATTTTACACTTAATCATAAATGTTAATCTTAGGTCCTTATCATTTTTCTTAAATAACATTTTCTTTTATCGTTCTTGGTAAATCACTGTTTCTCTGTTTTGAAAATAAGCATATCTGATTTTGAAACAATCACAGTAAAAGCTCTAATATCCAGAATATAGAAGAATTGGACTATTTCATATAAGCAAACATTTTTGATACTTCAGTGCTGAAAATCTAATTTCTTTCATTTATCCTAATTTTTCAGTAAAAAAACGCTGCAGCTTAATAATTACAAAAGTTTATCAAAATTGATGCTTATATTAAATAAAGGTAAATATTATGAAAAAAACTGAAATTGCTAATCTAATAAAATAAAAATAATAAACTGAAATTGCTAATAAAAAAAAATGCAAAGAATAACAAAAAAATAAGTTTTTAATTCTTAACTCTTATACTTAATTACTATCTGTCATCTTGAACTAATAATGAAAAAGCACAGATTTTTTTATGATTCCAATAAGTTTTGCGTCAATTTTTTTTTATTAACTACCAAAAATTTTGGTTATTTAAGCTTTGCAGTTATTTGAATTCGAAGTAGGCAGTCTTTTACTGCATTTAAAAATAAACTTCGTTCTTTTGTTTGTTTAGATGTATAAATCTTTAAAGTAACCTCTGAAAAAGAACTGCGTGTTTCTTGATGGTAGCAAGGATAATGTTTCAATTCAAATAAAAAAATGGCAGGCTTGCTATAATTGAAAGAAAATGATAAAGGAAATCAAATGTTTGTGATTTTAAAGTATTTGGGCTATCCGTGACATTATTATGTATACTTATAAAAAGTAATCAAAAGTATTTAAATATATTTTAGTAACGCTTTTATATTACTGTAATGCTAAGTTAATATAATTTATTTCTTTGATAATATGTCATATTTATTATTTTTATTTAAATCATGTTAAACACAACTGAATTAAATATGAAAATGAACTTTACAACGGCAAAACTGAGGGGTTAAAACAAGCACACCATATTCAGATTTATTAAGTTTTATTAAAAAGACCCCCATTTTAAATCATTAAAGTTAATTACAATTAATATCATGCTATCGCTAGCTGCTAACACCCAATACACATGTTAAGCATTGTTTGGAAATTCATTTTTAAAAAAAAAAATATAGGATTATGTTCTTTTTACTTGATGAGTTCATTATATATTTTTAAAAAAAATATGTATATATATTTACTTCAACTAATTATCGCATTAGTTAATAAAATTATGTAACAGAAACATAATTAACATGAAAAGAAGTTAACATGAAGAAGTCAATAACAAGTTAGTGTAAAATATTTTAAAGATATATATATATATACCACAATAAAAACACAAGAGAAAATCGAAGAAAATTAATAAGTTTTATTAGCTGTGCATAAGCTGCAAGTATATAGAACTCATAAAATAAGCTAAAATATTGAAAAAAAAATGGAAAATAATAAAAAATAATGACAAGAAAAGAAAATTATTTAAAAAAATTTTTCAAAAGTATTTAAAAATATATAATTTTTGATATCTAAAAAAAAATTAAAAATCCGGAAAACAAAACAAAGAAAAGATATAATCTCTTAATAATCGTGTAGGCTGATGAAGAGATTTATATCTTTTCTTTGTTTTGTTTTCTGGATTTTTAATTTTTTTTTTTTTTTTTTTTTTTTTTTTNTTTTTTAGATATCCAAAATTATATTTTTTTAAATACTTTTGAAAAATTATTTTTAATAATTTTCTTCTCTTGTCATTATTTTTTATTATTTTCCATTTTTTCTCAATATTTTAGCTTATATATATATACATAATTTATTATTAATTATTGTGTTTATTATTAAACTTAATTGCTTATGCAATTTTTTATATCTTTTCCAAGTATATAAATTAAATTTTTATTTCCTTTAGGAAAAATAACAATAATATTTTTTTTTTAGACACACTCTTTTAGAGACCTAAAATTTAATGACACAAAATCTTGGACTTTTATGGCTGTTGAAGGAGAACCAGGATGTGATTTTCAGAAAACTGTTGAAATTACTAATAAGAAATCTATCCAAACTGCATTTCTACTTAATGACGAAAATCAATTTGATATACAAATAGTATGTATACACCTTAAATCTTTTTTTATAATGAGAGCATTCATTATAAACTAATTTAAAATATTTCCTAACAACTTTTGTACGTATAAATAAATAAATTAAATAATACAAGATAAGCTTTATGATTATATTTATTGTTATTAACTGTGAACTATATAATATACTGTATTATATTAACTGCAATATACTGTGTTATATTAACTGTAACTATATAATTATTTATTAACTGTATTATAATTAATAATATTGACTATAATTTATTTGATCAATAGTGGTTGCTTTCCCACAAGCAAACTAGTGTTTTTCTTAATATGATTTCATAGAGAAAAGTTGTTTGATTATGGCACAATTTTTTTCGATAGCAATTTGAAAAATTATGGGGTTAAGCTCCGTGTATGTATAAAAACTTCTGGTAAAGCAGAATCCTGCTAAGTATACAGTGCCAAAAATCAATCCATAAAGTAAATGATTAAACAATTCACACATTCCCTCAGCATTGAATGCAATTACAAACCTGCAAAATATGGTTATTTTATACTTAGCATATATTTTATTAGTATATTTAGCATTACTTTAAGGTAATCTCTTGGTACAACAAGCAGGTTTTATATTTTATTTTGTTTTCTTTACTAAAAAGGCATAATAACCCTGCTTGGATGTGTAATCCATCGTCAGTTATTAAGGATTAGGACAAATAAGCTGTTAAGGACAAATTCTCCATGTCTCCTACACTAATATTTTTCCTAATTGGATATTCTTAGTAATAACCAGATAAGTTGATTAATGTGAAATTTGTGTATCGTAAAAATTTATTTATTTAAATACTAGTTTATATTTTTTTTAAAGAAAAAGAAAGTGAAGAGAGAATAGAAGACTGCTTCTTATATACAATGCATGCATAAAGTATATAATAATTCTCATATTTCATATACAACGCAGGCATAGTATACAATGCATTTCCTTCGCTTCCAGTTACGTATATTAACCTAAATTTACAAATATAATATTGTTTTTAAATGATAGTTCATTTGCAAAAGTGTATGAAAGAATATAATTATATTACGATATGTATTTATTAAAGCATTTACAAATTAATATAGAATCACGCAAATTATTCTTGGTTTTATTTAAATTGTGATATTTAGTATGAATATTGGTATCTCAAAAACTTATATGCATCAAGCATTTAAATAGTACATTAATACATCAAGTGGAATTTTTCTCAACTCCAACGTCCCCCTGTTTCCAACTGTGCTTATTTTTTTCTTATCATGATTATCTTTCGTATTTCCACACCTCCCTAAACATCCTACCTAAATATAATAGCTTTAAGTAGAAATTATTCAATTTGATTTACTTTTTAGTAAAAGAATAATAGAACAAGAGCATCTTTTTACTGAATTTTACTTATTAAAATATTTCGACAAATAGAATATGAATGATAACATGATTCTATCGGCAAAATTACATTAATTATTATTAACAAATAATAAAACTAGCAGTGATGTCTCAGCGGTTAAGGCTCTGAACTGTCATTATGAAAAACTGGATTCAATCTAGAGTGGTGGTTTGAAGCCCACCCAGCTTCATGGGTACCAGCTTCATGGGTACCAGCTTGATGGGTACCAACTTGTCTGGGAAGTGAAAGAGGCTTGTGTGACCTCATAGTAAGCCATTGGCCCTGAAATAGCAGAGCCTTAACCTCCATGTTTCCTCTAGCCCATGATGGGCTTTTAGGGGAAATGCTTTATATAATAAAATATTTTAACTAATTGTTAATAATTTATCATTAGTTTTTGTCTTGTTAAGGGTGTTTTTGGAAAATTTTTGGCATTGTAAATTTTAAAATATATATTAATTATTGAAATTACTTAAATGAAGTTGGAGTGATGAAGCATTTCACACTGAGTGTTTTGCATTCGTGTAGAAATTTCTGCTCAATATACAACTTTCTTATTAATTAACAAGGAAAAAAACTGATTTATTACAGCAGCATCTTGACGCCTCGTAAACTCCCAGTCAGTTTAGAAAGCTTGCATTTAATGGTTAAGAATAACTGAAAACATTTAAATACAAGGTTTAAGAATAACTGAAAACCAATGGTTAAAAACAACTGAATGCCAAGTCCCTAAACTGTAGATAACCATTTTCTTGAATTGAACTAAGTCAATTTCAGTTTATTTAAATTTAAAAATTTGTTATTTTGTAAGTTAAGTCCCAAACAATAATATTGCTGAAAATTTATAAATATACTTATAACTTCTTAGGTTTATGAGTTTTTACAGATTTCTTTTTGTTTATAAGTTGCTACAGAGATATATGTTGCATGTTTTTAATACTAACTTTTCATTTTAAAGGGTGCAGATGAAAAATCTAAATCAAAGGAAGCTCTGGCTAAAGTTCGAATATTTTTCTCAATTAAAGATATTCCTATAAACGCTACATTTAAATTTGTTGGGCCCAAAACATATTTTGTTTCACCAGATAATGAAACTGGAAGTTCTGACATTGGTCGAACAGATTATGCATCTTTTGAACCTGGAAAGTAAGTATTTCAATTGTACACTAAAAACTATTTTTCCTTTATCACTCAAGGTCCTTTTAACAATTAACAAAATTAATGTAAGTTTGCAAGATATAATTCAATATTTACATGCTTATCATGTACCTAAAGTTCACTAAATGGACTTCAGACATTATGCATGCAATTCTTCTGCTAATTCACAGAATTCTGTGAATCTCAAGACCTTTGATTCGCGGAAATCTGTAAATCAATAATTTATATTCCAACAAAATTTTCTTGTAGTTCCGCCCGTTTAAAATTTAAATTTCGTTACTATGCAAAATCTTGTAAATGAAACATGTATTCTACAATTTTTTTCTTCCTCATTTCTCACTCAATTCACCTTTTTTCTTTAATCCCAACAAGTTTTTTTACGCAAAATAAAAAACGAAAAATACAACTTTGAATAAGCTTCAAAAACATGAGATTGGGAAGAAATTTCCATAATAATTTCGGTTGGAATTAGTAAACTACTCAGGCAAACACAAAAATATAAAATTCATATTCTAAAATGTAATTCGGAAATGACAAAAATTTAAAAGATCGTTCGCAAGAAGAAATGGTGTTTTTATTTTAACGAGTAACAATTTTGATGCAAATTCCAATTTGCATCAGAAGAATTATTTAATAATTTTTATATATTTGCTATTCAATAGCTATTAAAAAAATTGTTGGAGTTGATAATGTTTGCAAAACATTCAGAGATTCCACAGCAGTTCAGCTTTCAGAGTCTTGAGATATGACCTTCATAGAATTGATTAATTAAGTGCCTGTCCCATTAGGGCACCTACTCGTTCAGTTAATTATTCAGTAATAACTCATTCAGTAATAATTTTGAAGGGATTGATCAGGTATGGGGGCATACACAAAATTGAAATTAAAAAGACCAAACTAATTAAAAATCAATATTTAAAATGATGAAATGAAAAGGATTAATACTCCTCCAAATAACCTCTCATCTACTAAATAAGGTTTTTAATTTATTTTTATATGAAGATGTAAATATTTTAGCACTTAGAGTGGGAGGTATTTTATAAGTGGCATTGGTAACTGAAAGGCATCTTTTGTGATGAAAGAATAAATTATTTATCATTAACTTATAGTAAAGATAGTTTATGCATTTGATTTATAATTCTAATGTTATAAATTAATGCTAATTTTAATGTTAAGTACTTTTAACAAATTAAACTGCCTCATATATATGGGATGTGATTAGAAATAATTGCAAACACATTAATTTTCATGTCTCAAAAATTTGTTCATTTATATATGTGGGCATTACGTTTGTATATTTCTATTGATAGATTTAAAAGAAATTGGAGAAAAAAACAGTTTTGGTCCTTATTTTCACATGCAAAATAAAGTTTTAAGTTGCATGGAAATGTTATGCCTACATAAATAGTTCATACATTTAAACTTTTATGAAATGATTATGTAAGTTTAAACATAGCTAATAAGTGTGTTGTCTAAAATCTTAATCATTTCACTAATTTATTTATTTAGTGATTCATAGGCTAATTTATAGGTGCAAAAATAGATTTTTAACATATTTCTTTTAGTGCTATACACTTTTATGAAGAACAAATATTTTAACCTTCAACTTTTTATGACTTTCTCGACAGCATTTAAGAAATTTTCAAATATTTGCAATTTTGTTAAGTCTTAGTAATGCACTTTTATTTAAAATAAGAAATAAAGTACATAAAAAATAACTGAGAAAATATGTTCCTTTACATTGAAATAACATCAATGTCTCATGAGTGTACATTCGCATTTGAAGGTGACACAACCTTTATGAATAAAAACTCTCTGCTCTGGAGCATCAGACATGACTCTTATTAACGCCGGGCCGCAGGGGCATTCTCACTGTGTCCATTGATAGGCCCCTGAAGATTTGTACCAATCAGGTTCAAATAATTAGTCACGTTTAAAGCTTGTTTCTTTACTAAACTAATGCTAAAAGTAGGCATTGCTACAATTATTGTTATTTAGTTGTGCACTTCTTACTACAAAACTTTTTTTGAAAAGTAGCACACTATACTACAAACTATGAAAAAAGAAACTACAGTCGTTTTAAAATATTAGTCTATAATTAAATATTAATAAAAAAGTTTTAAAATATTAATCTACATTTAAACATTAACATAAATGTTCATTAACACAGATATCACAGCATATACATAAACTTGTATATGCTTTGACATACTTTCTCACGATACAAGTTCATTTTTTTAATTTTAGCATAGAAAATGAGAAATCATATCTTTTAAATGGGTATAGATTTTAGTAAATATGAAATATAATTGTTTTGATAATACTAATACTATTTTTATTTGTGAACTAATTAATCTTTCATTTATTTAAAGAGAGATTTATAATTATATGGCCTGCCTTCATGTAAAAATATGAAATGGATTAAATATTTTAATTAGGGAGTTTGATGTTAGTATTTACATAAATAAATATAGGCAGATTTTTTAAAATTCTTCCTCTGACTCTTCTTTTTCTATAAGAATCCTCTTTCTGTTTTTCAGTGACTTTCTGTGTGTAGCAAAATGCTCTTTTCTTCATTTAACACAGTTTCACCATTTACAATATATAATCCAAACCACATAAGTTAATATTGTATGATAAATTTTTATGATTTTATTAATTTTTAAGTTTTAAAGCTAGTATGCAAATGAATATCAATCCATTTCATTATCTTAAACTGTTTCATTTTGGGTTGGAAAATAAAATGAGTGAGCAAAGCAATATGAAAAGAACTGTGAAAGCAGCGAGCAATAGGAAGCAAAGGTTTAACCAATTATATATTTAGGATAAAGTATAAACAAATTATGCATTAATGGTGGGATATTAAATAAGACTAGGGCAGAATAAACAAATGAAGCAATCTGAAAAGAACTAGGTAGGCAGTTCCGGAAGTTAGTGAGTGATAGTAAGTTAGGGGGAACCACTTTCTTTCCATAAATGAAAAAGATTAGTTAATGAATTTAATACATTATATTATCACTTTATGTTTATGTTAATATGTACATATTTTATACATTATGAAATGAGCCGGGATAGCCTGGTCGGTAGGGCGCTCTTGGCCCATGTCCGAGAGTTCGTGGATTTGAACCCCGCCGGCCGAAGACTCCCCGTGTAGTAAAGTGACTGATTCATGTTAAATCTGTCAAGTCGCAAAAGTCCTCCTTGTTCCCATAACAAATCAATGCCTCTAGGGGTACTGGATTGGAGATCGATCGTTCTCTGATTCAGGTCAAAATTATGATCTGTGTATGAATGAATGGATGTATGAATGGGTCCGCCCTGTAAACGGGTGCGAGGTATGGTGTGGCAGAAGTCGAATTCTTGGCCATAGATGGCACCACTGAAAAACAAGAAACGCACACCCTGCCTTAAATTTGCTTGGTTTCACCAAGCAGGCTTGCCCGTGTGGCAAGTGGCATTAGAAACAACAATAATGAAATGAATAGCAAAGTTAATTTAATAATTAATCAAATTACTTTTTCTCAAACCAGAGACAGTATTAAAATTATGAATAATATCTTGAGTAAGGTCTAAAGATCAAGATTAGCCATAAAAAACAATAATGTATTACTTTTAAGTTGGTATACAATGTTTATCTGAACAGTTTGGAACTATTAATTAGAAATTATTGTGTATTTAAAAAAAATTCTGATTTCTATGTAATTAAAGATAGTTAACTTGAAATTATAGATAGTTATATAAAATATTATCTATAACTATTGTATATTTTTATTCTAGCTATAAATTTTATTTGCCTTTCAATGAAAGTTCCCACTTAGAAGACCTACTTGGAGAAGCTAAATTTCAGTCTGGTGGCTCTTATATTGTTGGAATTGTTAAAAGTGATGAACACTCGGTAAGTTTTTACTTTGGTTGAATATATTTGTGTATCTATACATAATGTGATAAAAATTACAAGTATTTATTTTATTCTTTTTGTATGCCTATAGTATTCCTTTGTTAGTTAGTTCTAACTTTACTTATTAAAAAAAAAGGTGTTCCCACAAGGGGGTCTTAAGAAGAGTGCATTCGCCCTCTCCTGGAAATCCAATAAATTTAAAATTATATTTTGTTTTCAAATGTTTATAATTTTTTATTTTAAATAATAAGAATTTTTCATTTTGTAATGATAAGTCATCATATTGAATTCACACTGAACCAGTGTTGTTTTTTTAGTTGTATTTAAAGTCGGTTGCCTTTTTAAAAAATTTTATACTATGATAAACTAATTATGTTTGCTTTGTTTGTCTCACTCTCGCTAAAAGCAAATAAATAAAACATAAAAAATATATTTTTAGGCAAACACCACTGCTTTTTTTGTGCTCATACCATGTTAAATTTAAATAAATCATAATTTTCATAGAAATTTAAATGTTAAAATTTTAATTTTTTATCAATTACTTTTCTTTTAATAGCGTTAAATTAATTTATTGAAATTGTGTGTGTTAATTTTAATGCTCACACAAAAAAAAAAATTTAGAATTACAAAAAATTTGTTTATGCACAATTTTTTAAATATTTGTAAAAATTGCACACCCCTGAGAAATTTCTGTGGGTATCTTTGAAAAGAAAAAACAAGTCATTGGCAAAGAAACCTTTTTTAAGTTGTTAAAATGTTTTTACATGCTTATTTTCATTCATGTGTAATGTTAAAAAATTAAATGTTAAATCTAATTTATTGATAGATCTTAAATAAAACGAACAATTATTTAAAAACTTTCTCACAGAAATTGAAATAATATTAATTTAATTAGCCTAAGAAGATGAATACTTCACATGTGTGATGCCATAATAGGCATTACTCATTTCCAAGCTTTTAAAATTTCTTTAATTTCATAAATTTATTTTTTTAATCATTCTTAATCCAATTTTAACTAAATTAAACTAATTATTTAATTTTATTAAATTTTATAAAATGCAAATATAAATATTTTATTCTTTTTTTAACTATTCCTTAGGCTGCTTTATTTCTCTAACCACAACAATGTTTCAGTTACAGGTTTATATTAATTTCTCACAGTGTTTTTGGTGATTAAGATGTAGCCAAATTATTTAAATATTAACATGAGATATCATAAAGTTGGCTGAATTGGCTTTTCTTTTGACAGTGTCCTTTTTCGATAATGTGCCAATAATGGATCTTTCCGGTATTACAATGCGTTAATTAAATACCACTTTTAATATGGTGTTTAACTAGGCAGGTGATGGGAAATTTATCTCCTATGGCGTCTCCTTATTGATATTATTATGCAAAATTTATTATTTCATTTAAAAAGTCATTTGGATAAAATATTCTTTTAATTTTGTATCTTGAACTCTACAACTATTAATGAATAAAGGTTTCATTATAATTATGATCCTGTTTTCATCATCATCTTCAATTAGATCATCTTATATCTCCAACCGGACCAATATTTACATTATAATATGTTACAAACCTATATTATTTTCCAGAAAGACATAAAAAATCCTTTCCAAACTCAAATTCTCTTTATCATATTTTATTGGGAGAAAAAAAGCTAGATGTACTTTTATGGAGCTTCAAACCCTTTCAATAGAAATATGCATAATCTCATAAATTTGAGTCTTATAATATTTCCATATGGTATATTTAAGATTAAATTAATGCTTTGAAAGCAAAACATATTGTATATGTATACAAATAGAAATTTTATTAATTTTTATTGTATTTTTATGGCAAACTTATCTTTGACTAAATAATTTTTTTCTTGATTATTTTTGTTTTTTGATTTCTTTTACCAATGTTTTTATAAATGTATCATCTGTGAGCGTTTTATTCTGGAAATTGTTCAAAATATGTATGTATGAAAATGGACATAGCTCAAAATGCATATTTAAGAAAATAGTCACAGATCAAGAAAAGCAGTTAAAAAAATGGACACAGCATTACATTCCATTTTTCAAATTACTCTCATAAGTATATTTTTTTAATTAACTAATAAATCCAAATTTGTAATGTAATGTCATCCATTTGGATAAATCACTTTGTATATTTTTTCAATTTAGAGTTTTTCGAAATAATTTAAAGGTCTACTATTATTTTTACATGGTTACTATTTGTTCTTAAAATCATAATAGTGGTGGGAATTATTAGTTAATACTTTTAGAGATTTTGTATTTTAAATGCCACTTTATTGTTTAGAGATTATTAAGATAAAAGATCGCCTGAAAAGTTAAACCTGTATTATACTCAGCCAAACCGACCCCGGAACTCTGTAATGATTATGCTTGTTAAGTGTTCAAAAAGAATGTGAAATTCTTGGTTGAGTTGTATAAGTTTGGACCTAACGTTAAAAAAAGCACATTTTGTACTGTGTCAATTTCCTTAAATATGCATTTCGTGCCATGCCTTTTCTCTTAAATAAGCATTTCAAGCTTTGTCCATTTTTTTAAACATGCATTTTAAGCTACATTTGAAATATAAAGCTCATTGACGATATATATATGTATAAACATATATACAGAAATCATAAAAAAAAAAATTAGAAACAAATACCCCAAAAATTGTTTTATAAAATTGTTGTAAATGTTTAATGGAATCAAATGAAGCAAATTAAATAAAATTAGATCTTGAAAAAAGAACAAAAAATGCAATAAATAAAAAAATAAGGTGATTGATTTTGAAGTTTATTTTTATTATATATTATGCTCGTATATTTTTTTGTAAAATGCATATTTTGATTAATTTTTGCCATTAAAAAATAATCATATTAAAGAGCATAAAAAGTGTGCCATTAAAGAGAACACTTCAATTTATTTAAATATGCAATAAAAGCTTGTTTTTGGTGTAATTCCACACAATTTATTTTGATGAAAATATTTAGAATATTTCAAAATTATGGATGAACAACTTTTCTCAAGTGAAAAGATTAGACTTTTCTTAACAAGTACAGCAAATTTTTGCAAGCATGGGCACAAAAAAGTACTTTGATTTCGTTATAAAATAATAATAAATATAAAAAAATTAATAAAAAATAAAAGTAGGATAAGTAAAAAATGTTTAAAGGATAAGAAACAAAATTTTTTCTTGATTTCAACAGAAAAGTAAGTTTGAAAAGAACTTGGAAAAAATAACAATTTCAGCAAAGAATAAACTAAATAACTTTCGGTAAAAGTAGGCAAATGAGAATTAAAAAAATTTAAGCATAATAAATATACTAAATTTTATGACTTTGTTTTATATTCCATTGAATACTAATAATACTTCTTTTATTTTTTCAGAATTTATTAATAACCACATTAGTACTACCTAATTCCGTTCCCATTTTGCTACAAATACCACAATATGTAATCCTTACTGCGGCAGAAATTATGTTTTCCATTACAGGATTGGAGTTTTCATATTCTCAGGTTTGTGCTTCGTTCTAAAAAAATCATGTTTAGTTCAATATTGAATATTTAGTTTAAAATACTATTATTCAAATTTTAGGCTCCATTATCAATGAAATCTGTCCTACAAGCTGCTTGGTTATTGACAGTTGCATTTGGCAATTTAATTGTTACTATAGTGGCAGAAACAGAACTTGTAGAAAAAAAGGTATGTATTTACTAGAGCTTTAAATGTAAATATTTGATTAGATAGATTATTTTTATAAAAATCAGTCAAATTGTTTTTTGTAGGAAAATTGTATTTTAAGATTTAATATTCAATATGAATATGAAAAAAAAAATACCTAATATGTATTTACAATGAACCTACAATATATTTCATTCAATATTTGATTAAAAAATTAAGTTTAATACAAATTCTGTAAATGAAAGCCAGAGTGATAAAATATCTTCCTTGTATTTTTAAGCAATTATAAGCCTTTACGTTTTTGAGTTTTTTTCAGTCCATAGTTGTTATTTATAAAAACTGTCTCGAAGAACTCATTCAGAATCTTGAGTTGTAGCAAAAGTACTTTTAAAAAAATAAATAAATAAAATAAGAACCTATATTTAGAGGATATAATATATCCCTATTAGAATCAAAAAATTTTAGAGCAATTTTAATTAACAATTTATGTCCAAAACAATACAAGTTTTATCTGCATCCATCTGGCTACAGTAAAAACTATAACTGCATATGATATTAGTGCTATAGATATCTTAGTTCAAAATAATTTAAAGAAAAAAAATTAAGGTATTAAAAATATAGCATGCATATTAATTAAAGATTTAATACTTATTTTAGAATTTTAAAAAATGGATCCAGAATTCAATAAAAATATGAATTCTTTACATTATGGAAATGTCTGAGTAATTGTTCTATTCTTTGATGAGATATTTCTGTTACAAATTTGAAAAATATGGTAACAAAAAAAATTTACAACAAATTTAACATAGAGTAAATTTATTTTTACTTATATGATTTCAGAAATGCATTTAATTTTTATGCTCCTTAAAAATGTAAGAAATGTTTATGCTCTTTAAAAATGTTGAAATTTTTTTTTTAATTTAAGAAAAATATATACATGTACTTTAAAGACTAATTATTTAAAACCAGTAAATATTTTTAACTAAAAGATAAAAATAAATTACTTCTGACAATATCACATACAAACTTAAAAAAGAAAGTTTGTACTTAAATAATTCAATTAAGTTTTAATATCCTAGTGAAAAAAAAAATGAATTTAAAACTAAATTTGAATAGTTATTTGGACTTTCTTTTCTGGCTTAATATAAATTAGTGACCACATATTGATTTGCTGGCTGAAAATACTAAACTAAAGCTTTGAAAAATACTTTTATTATTTAAGGGCTGAAGAAATACAGTAATGGATCACGTATTTAACTAAAGGTGATACATTTTTTTGTAATAAAACTGCTCCGTAGCTTTGTTTTGAACTAGATTACATCACTTCACTAAATTTTATTACCTACTTATAAATCTTTGCTTTTCTCCAAAAATGCTCTCAACAATGAGAATATGGCTTATTTTTATATTGCTCCAAGCTCCAAGTCTTCTACCTTTTAATTTAACAGTTGATCATACGTGTGTGACATTATGTATATATATTTAAAATATAAACTAATATATCTTTATGTTTCCTTGCTCTACAAAATAAAATAATTTTTTTTAGTCCTCTGAATTGTTCATGTTTGCCATTCTTATGGGAATAGATATGCTTATTTTTGCTGTCATGGCTTATTTCTACAAATATGTAAAAGTACATACCTACAGTGAGGAAAGAAGTGGAGACAAATCACGAACAAACACCACAAATGGAAAAGTAAATGATGCTTATGTAGAAGAAACAGACTTTACTAAATGAAAATGAGTCTTTTTCTTTTAGCTTTCTCATGTAAAGAGCATGATCTAATGACAATTGCATTTTTTAAGCAATGAAACTATGTATATCTGTGTAAATTATTATTTTGTAAATAAAGAAGCATTGAAGTGTCTTATATTTATGTGATGTGCAAATGCTGTGTTATGCTGTTAAAATATAAATATTTTACATTTAATGGTATGATAAAAAATTGCTGTATTTATTTTAGTGAAAGAATGTGATTTGAAATAGAAATACTGTTTTAGTTAACTTATTATTTTTTTTACTATTATAAACTTGCTACTAAATGAGACTAAATCAACTAATTTATTATTTATTTATTTTTATAAAAGACTTTTTTAATTCTATATTTCCTTGTAAATTGTTCTGTAGATATGCATCACATTTCCATATGTTTTAAATGTTTTACAAAAAATATTGTATGCTATTAATTCTTTATTAACCAGTTGTATACGGAAATCAATTGAAAAAATATATTTTTATATCAAGCACTAAAAAAATAAATGAAAGCTATATAAAAAGGTATAGCTAAGAATTATTGAACAGTATGTATTTCAAAGAATGTATGCAATTTATGTCAATGTTCTTACATTACAAAAATTTTCATTGTAAGTTTAAATAATTTAATTCCATTTCATATATATATATGCATGTTATAAAACTATCCGTTTATGCAAAATAAAACTAAGCTGAAAGTAAGATTTCTTAAATATTGGAATTTCTAGAAGGTATCAGTTAAAAAATATCAGTTATGCCTCTTTTTGCATTTTTAACATGTGTATTGCATAGAGTAGAAAATTATTTCTAACATTTTGTATACATTTTTAAAGTTGTAAAATATTTTGTCAAATGTAAACACTGAAATTTCTAGAATTTCACTTTAATCTTTTGTACTCTAAGCATCTGTTTTTTTCTTTTAAAATAACTGAAGCATTAAGAAGTTATTGTGTGATATTGTGCGTACCAATTAATAGCTACTACTTTTGTAGGAAAAAAAATTTCTAGTGCAATGACTGTTCAAAATTTTATATCTGATATGCTGTTCATCTTTTTATTATAATAGAATGAATATATAATATTTTCAGAAATTTCTACTAATGATAATTATATTTTTTCATAGCCAATGAGAAAATATTTAGAGGCCAATATTAATCCTTTGCTCAATATTTATGTTTAATACTTATGCTGCTGTTTCATTTTTTAAAAATATATATAACATTTCGTTTTATTTAAACATAATATATTGTACTTCTGTAAATAAAGTATGTATTTTTGTTAAAAATTCAAAAATGTGTACACAGTCTTCCTTTTGAACATAGATTCAAAATATCTATAAAAAAAATTTTGCTACTTCTAACAGAAGTATTTGTATATAATTGTATTTTGTTATTTTTCAATTTTTTGTATGCTTATATATTTTTTTCTTCATATAATATATAAAATGTTAAATAAACATTCCATTTAAATGTCTTATTCACTGTGCTTCAGACCAGTGTTTTATTCACATCGTTTCTAATACCAAAGACAGTTAAAAGCAAATTAGTTTCGAATTCATAGAATCTACAGATAAATATTATACTAAAAAATTTATTTCCTATTAGAAGTATAATTATGAATCCCCATGCTTCATTCCTCTCTTAAAATTTAAGGTCAATAAAAACTTAAGTCATCAAAAATTGTCAATATTTTTATTTCCTTTAATGGATTGTTACCACTGTAAATAGATACAGTAACTTATACATTTATACCATGATTTAAAAAATGAAATGATTTTTATTTACACGATTTTCAGATAAGCACTTTAGGTATTTCATTTTTACTTTTATAAATACCTCTATGCCAGGTTATCTTTGACCACTCACAAGAATTAATACTATGTTTTACAATTTAACACAGCATCAAAGAAAATGACACAAAAAAATAGATTAAATTTCAATATTTATTGGATATTTTAACTAATGCATTTAACTAAATCTTAAAACTTTTTGTGCCTACACTGACATCATATAAAGTAGGCTGTAAAAACTTTCCTTTACAGTCAATGAGGAAAAATAGCGATTTGTTCTTTATTTTGAAAGGTATATAAGATTTTGCTTCTTCTCGAGTACACATGCAGCTGATTTTTCGTAAAGGCACAGATAATTGGCGAGTTCTTCCAAACGGGCCATATGTTAAAATGGTTACAATATCACCTCCTTTGTGCAAAGTAAGTTGTTTGACAATTCTATAGGGCAATGAATATGATATAAAAGCAGTAAGCAAACCTAAAAAAGAATAAAATGAGTGCTCTAAGTATAGCAAATATGAATGAGGAGCAGTGGTGCGCAGACTTAACTTTGGGCCCAGCCTTAGAAGGGTGCAAATTTATGAAAAATTATTGAAAATGAATTCCGAAATAAACCTTTTTTTTTAAATATCACCACTTTCATTTTCAAATTAAAGGCACCATAAATTTTTCAAAATTTTATTCGATTTGCCGATAAATTGAACAGGATGTCTATTACTATCAAGGAAATTTGTTTTACTCAAATGTTTTTTTTAACAAATTGGCAATACATTGAATGAAAAATGTAGGCACTTATCATTCAATGAATGTGATTAAAAACATTAAGTAGAACAAGTTACCCAAGTTGCATTGTTTTAAAAAAAAAATTAAAAAATCTTATGTGATGTAAAATTAAACAATCTAATGCCAAGTGCAGGCAGTTTTTTTAAATCATTTTAAAGTGGCCTCGAGAAACGCCTTATAAGTCTCGTGCCATAATGCAAACAAGCGCAAAAACAAAGTGTGTCCCCAGGTGCTCTGGGCCTTAACAACGTCTCTGATGTTGGTGGTGTAATTGCTGGCACTTAACATAGTCCTAACTGCCAACTGAAGATGAGCCAAGCTTGAAAGTCGAGAAATGTTGGGGATGTTGCGTTTTTGTGTCAAAATACTTAAAAATTCAGTATAACAATTTTAGTTTCTTTTTTGTGTTCTATTTTTTTCTCTTTTCTGTTACAAATCTTTAATAAGGATATTGATTTACTACTCAAATATAAAAAGGCATTTGCTTATTCTTCCACACATATGGCATTTTTTTAGCTGGTCTTAAAATTAGTAAATGTATATTATATAATTTTAGGATTTTGTATCAGGCTAAAAAAAAATTTTAATCTTTGCTGCCAACCAACCAGTGGATGATATTTTAGTGAAGATTGGTAGAATTAGACAATTTAGATATTAAGAGTAAAGAAAAATGGCTAGGAATTAATATTTGTGAAATTAGTGGAGGATATGAACGTACACATTATGCAAAGTACGAATAATATAATTATAAATGTGTACCAATATCCACACAAAATCCCATACAAACATCTTTCATGCAAACTTAATTTTATGATATAAAAATTTATATTAACAATAAATTATAACATTTCACAAAATAAGTACATGATAAAACATATTGTATAGTATTTGATCTAAAGATTAAAGCTTCACATACTAAAATGGAATCTCAATGATTCTAAGAAGACACTTTAAATATCCAATATAACAATAATTAAAAGAGTTTACAATAATAAAAAGAGCACCTGACACGAAACTACAGGTTAAGTTTTATTTAAAGTTAAATATACATTTTATATCACGAGTATAAACTAATCAAATTTTAAAATGTATTGTTGGCGAAGGACTGCAGCTAAAAACTAAGACAAATTTAAATAAAATAAACTGCAGCTGTTTACTTCACCTCAGTAGGTACCTATATTTTTTTATTTTTGTTAATAATTCTTAAATGCTAAATAATTTAAAGATAAAAAAAAAATGTATCTAATTTTTTTTCTTCAAAAATGCTGCAGTTAATCAGGTTTTTTTTTTTTTTTACATCATCATGACATTATAACAGTAAACTTTTTTTTATATTCTCTGCCCTAAATATTCATTGGCAAAACTAACAAAATTATGGTGCATTAACGGAGTTATTGAGGCATTCTTACCCATGATCAAGTAAGAAACTGATTATATAGTCCATATATCCTAGATTGTATAGTCAGTTACATATCCAGGGTTCGCCAAGTGGACCCAATTAGAAAAAACCCGCCCGGGTTTTATTGGGTGGGCCCACCTTGAAAAAACCTACTTGGTGGGTTTTTTCACAAAGTGTTATATATGTATATATATTTAAATTTGGTTGAAAAAGAAGTATTTCCTAATACTATCTATCATTGGGCACATCGTGAAAGTTAACATATATTTTAGAAATGTGCATCAAGCACATGGATGGGTAAATGAAAAAAACTGCTTGGTGCCTCATATACCAAATGATACTAGGTGGAGTTCATATTATGACCGCGTAAAAACTTTTGCCAATAATAACCATAAATATCGAGAGATTGCTCTTGAACATCAAAATGAATCTAATAATATGCCAAAAATATTAAATAATGTTGGGCTTTACCAATAAATTATCAATTTGAAAAATCAGATATCAATTGTTTCTGAAGCTTTAGAAAAGCTTTGTGGGGGGTGGAGTTAATCGACAATACCAACCGTCATCTATCAAAAGGTACCTCGTGATAGAATCAAGTTAGCATGCTTTATATACTAGTGAATGATGTTAAACTTTTGTAGTGGTAGTTACGCCACAGTACTCCCCCACCAGAATTTTATCAGAGATATAATTCGATGAATAGATCTCACTAGTTGCTGTACTTGTGAAAGACCGGGAGAGAGTCACCGGAATCTTTGAGTGCTGAATGTGAGAGGTGTATTAACTTCACAGACGTGGTCGCTCCTGTGTTGCCTTTAGCAGTCGAGTGTATGCTTGCCGACGTTGTGTGTGTGTTTGAGACGAGACTGAGCAACAGCGCAGGAGGGTGAATGATGCATTCACAAATAGCAAGTCAACCTTTCGAAGTGGACTATCCATCGAAGTAGGCGTTACCGTTAAGAGATTACGAAGTGGGCCTTACTTGCGTGATCAAATCACGTCCGAAGGTCACCAATGTGGGGGGCGGAGTTATCGACCATGCCAACCTTCATCTATCAAAAGGTACCCCATGATAGAATCAAGTTAGCATGCTTTATATACTAGTGAATGATGTTAAACTTTTGTAGTGGTAGTTACGCCACAGCTTCAATCAGAAAACATTTCAAATTCAGAAGCTGTTGAAATATGAATTAATTTACTATTGTGTGATGAATTAGAACCCCATAAACATTTTGTAAAAAAGATTCCATCAGGCTGTTCAACCACCTCATTTGGCTGAATAGCCTGAGATTCTAAGGCATATGCATCCTAGATCCCGAAACAAGGGGACAATTTTTAAAGGATGAACAAGAGCAATTAGCAGAAAATTGTCTTTCTAAGCATCATCCAGAATTTCTGCCAGGTGTAATGGCATTCAAAATTTCCAATCCTTAATACTTTCCAAAATCAATGATGCTTGACACTGTTATTCATCAGTTTTCATCAAAAAATAGTGAAAAATTATGGCAAAAAAAAAAAAATTCCAAGTTTCCACAAAATTTCTGCGAATTATTTTTTCTTTACACTCAGCACCAGCATTCTTTGTCTCACACACTTTTCAACTTTCGGTTTGGTGTGGAGTAAACTACGAAATAGATTAGGAATAGATAAAGCTACAAAGCTCGTAAAAGTGTATCACCATCTAAGAGAGAAATGTAGACACTTTGAATCTGCTGTATGATAATAATAATAAATAAAAAAAACGAATCTTTTTTTAAATTAACTCTTAACATTTGCTGACAATTTTTAACTATTTGGAAAAAGTTTATCACCATTAAAAAACAGTTAAAAATTAAAATATTACTTTTAAGATTTTTTAAATATTTTTAAGATTTTATTTGAATATAATTTATTTTATTTCTTTTAATCTTGTTTAAAAATATTAAAAACAAATGAAAAAACATTTTCTATTAAATGATACATTAAACAACAATCAAAGTTATATTTTCTGGTTTTAAAAAAAATAAGCTAAAACTTATTATGTATGCTTTTTTATAATTTTAGGATTAATTTGTTTTTTGAAATTATAAAGTAAAAATTTATCTAAAAATGCAGTCTTTTTTCTAAGGTTAAAAATTTGAAAAATGGGACAAGTAACTGATACTCTTTATAATTATACGTAATTTTAATTCCACTTTCTATTAATGTTTTATAAAAACATGAAAGACCATTAAATATTTATTCAAGTTTAATTTTATTAAAGGTTAAAGTCAGATGAAATTATTTTTGTTTTTATTGATTATAAATTTATTATAAGTAATACATATATATACATAAACAACAAACGAAAACAAAAAGATTAATAAACTTGTTCCTTCTATATTATTATTACATTTACAATTTATAGTGCTTTAGTTAAAAATTATAAAATCTTATGTATTTAAGAATAAAGACTCAAACATGTATTAGTGATAGTGCATTCTTTAAACTTATTTTAATTTTATTATATATATTTTATGTAAACTTCTTAGATTTATTTATATTTTTAAGTTTATGCTACACTTTTTAATAAATAGAAATATTTTTATAGTAAGTAGTTTATGAGAACTAAATGAAAAAACCCAATTTTCCCCGGGTCTTTTCAAATAAAACCCAATTTTCCCGGGGGTTTTTCAATAAAACCCGGGCAGGTTGGGTTTTTTAAAAAATCCCCGGGTTTTTTCAAACCCTGTACATATCCAATTAAAAAATGATACTTTTCAATTTTTCCGATGCAATAAAAGTCAACTGGCGCAAGTAAATTCAACTGCTTTTTTTTGTAGTATATTAGGCAGCATCTACTTTTTTTCAAAAAATAAATAAAGCAGCTGAATTGACGAAATGGAAACTTACTAAAATATGTCTTAAAAAAGCATAAAAGATAAGTATATTAACTTTTGTTGTGTTTAGTAAGTAAGCTCAAGTTATAGACTGCCCGTTAATAAAATGGGATTTTAGGTCCACTTGGCATGCACGAGTTGTTGTGTCCACTCAGCATAAGAAAGCAATAGTAGCAAACAGTTGCTGCAAAGTGACATGGACTGTTACCAAATTTACACAAGAATATATTTAAGTTTAATTATTATTGTATGAAGAATTTTAACATGCTTAATATAATAATTGCTTGATAATATTGTACCCCAGTAGCAGTGACTAATAATAAAGTACATCTAACAACAGTTCTTAATAAAAATAAATATACATCGAAACACTTAAAGATTGATAACTAGAGAAAAAATAATGCTCCAAAATAAATTTTTTGTAGTAAAATATTGCAATAAAATAAAAAAATTCATACATACCAAACCCCATGCAAGTAGCCGCAGAAATCATTCTAGACTTGAAACTTGATAAGTTAACATTCCTCCACGAAGATTTTTCACCGTGTCTTGTGTCAGTATTTCTGAGACTAAAAAATGTACTAGCATAATAACCGCAAAGAAACAACTGTCCAACTCCAAAGAAGGACAGATATTTTAGAAATTTAACTTTATCCAGGGAATATAACAAAACATCTTTCTGTAAGTTCTTAATCTTTTCAGTCGGGAAATAACCAGAAGAAAATCGGAGGTGAAGGAATTGAGACCAAGAAGTTTTAGATGTAAATAAAATTCTAGTATTTAGTTGACACACTAAAAACATTTTTCAAAATATGCCGTGCTCGAATTTAACTTTATTATGGTTGCATTGAAATAAAATATTAAAAAAGTTTCTTATTGTTGATGATTAATAATTAACGATGCACACTTCCTAATAACAATTCATATTTTTTGGCAAATAATCTTTCAAAATTACATGACCCAACGAGTAAGAAGGGGGTAATGTTTGTTTTTATTTTGATAATTTGTAAAACGCTTTTACCTACCTATTTCTATACAATTCAAGGCGTTTAAACCAACCAACAGCCTCAAATTTCTCATTTTTAGCAGGCAGAAAGAGTAGCCCTTTACACATAAGGATCATTCTCACTATATAAGGTTTACAGTTTCCGATCGCCGTCGAGAAAAATGGAAAACTTGCTCGTTCTTCCACGACGACAACCGGAAAAGAGTAACCCGAACGAGAATGATCCTTAAAGTGGCAGTCCACAAATATTCGCGATCGCAACGTTCCATGTTTTGACTCGCCCCCCTTTCCTCTTTCAATTTGTATAGGAATGTGCTAAGATATTTCCCCCTTTCTTAATGGATCGTGTTTTCAATGTGAATGTAAACAATAACAATCCCGCTCTGCTATACCTGCTCTAGTTCCGGTTAGAAAGTTTGTAACTGCTTATTACAGCGTATTCTCCGAGGTGATATTATCAAACGGATAATTTCGTTTTCAATAAAAAAAAGTAAATTAGATAATTTCTGAGCTCAAATCTGCCGTATTTCATAAGATATTATTGTTATTAAATAATTCTGGTGAGTTTGAATAGAAAATTTGTTTTAGTTATTTATAGATATAATGTTAGAAAATATATCTATAGATTTTGAATTGCTCGCTTTTTTTGACAGTCCTATTTGGCCTCTTTTCATTTGTTTATTACTGTTTGTTCTTGTTGCAAGCCAGGGCCGTTTTTATGTTTATAGGGGCCCTGGGCCTGTCATTATCTGGGGGCCCTTTATGAGTAAATTTAGAGAAAAAAAAATTTTTTTCTTGAATAATTTTTAAATTTTTATTTTAGGAGTAAAAAACATATAAATAAATTATAAAAGCTTATATACATTATTTTTATCGAAAATTTAAGGTAACTATACTTTTCGCGCTTTTTGAGAGGCGAATCTTCTATCACATCATCGAAATCAATTTCCTGTAAGACATACATTTTGCTTTGCAGATCAAAATCTGTTAGACTTAGAAACATAAAATTATGCAGGTGTGTAGAAAATATGCAAGGAGTTATAAAAAATACAAGAAAATGCAGTTTGATTATTAGTTTTTTTTTATAATCGCCGTTGAAAGAATGACTCAATTTTGAGCCAATGTTTAACTACGTATCCTTGAAATTTTAAAACCAATCCAGAAGACAAGGAAACTCATGGATCAATACCCAGAGGTATTGAATTGTTAAGAGAACTCGGAGGAGTTTATGACCCCGACAGATTTAACATACACCAGTCACCATTTTATAATTGGGCCGGCTCAATTCGAATTCCCATTCTCACGAACACGAGTCCATAGCTCTACCATCAACCAAGCTATCATGGCCAAATTATTAGTTTATTTTATAACAGTCATTGAGCAGCCCACCAGATTTCGAGTTTACTACTACTAATGTTTAACTCCGTAGCCTTGTAATTTTAAACCCAATCCAGCAGACAAGAGAACTCCTGGATCAAGTAGTGGAAGAAATTTTTGTGTTCGTGGAGGACGTTTTGATGGAACTAGCCCGCATTTGGGTTACATGGAGAGGAAAACCACGAAATCCTCCCATGGTTAGTCTGATACCAAAGGAACTCTAATCCATGATCCGCCTACCACTGAGGATATTTCACGTCAGCACTGTGGTCGGTAAGAGCTGGGTGTATCAATCAGCCATCACTGGGATTCGAATTCGGTGCACCTCATTCGGAGGAGAATACTCTATCCCATGAGTCCAACTTTATTGAGTAATAACTCTGCGGCAGGTACCAATTTTCCAATTTTATTGCTTGGTACCAATTTTATTGATTGCTTCCAATTTTATTGATTTGCTTAAATTTAATTATCTTAAAAATGTAAATGGTAATTCAATCGTAATTTTTGTAGAAAAAAAAGGAAATAAAACGTTTTTCCTCTTAACCAGCAATGAATGCATAAGCAACCACGAGGGTTAGTGAGCTAACAGGAATGAACAGGTAGCGGAGCCTTCCAGTTTTTTAAATAATTGTTAAATTATTAGTTATTAACATGCGTACTTAAAAAAAATAAGAAAAACATTTTTCAGTATTAAGAAATAATTATTAAAAAGTATCATCAGCAGGAATAGAACCCACGATCTCACAGTTTTGTGTAAGATTTCATAATCATTAGCCCCAAATATACACACCTGTCTTGGGAATATTTTTAAATTTCTTTTTTTTTTAAATTTAATAAATTAAGTCCTTTGGATACTTGACATTCTTGAAAAATGCTTTCCAAATTACCATTTTTAACGTTTATAACAAGTAACTTCAGTTCATTTAGAAGTAAACCATACTTCGGCTTATCTTATTCATTTTCAGCTTATGTATATGCACCAAAAATAAATTTAAAACTAGACTTGATATAACACAAGGACTGCAAATTTAACTGTCGGATATAAAACCTTATTTAAGATTGAAAATGATGAAAAATCTACATTCCTCGAATTAAATATTTTAAAAATAGTCTGTTTGTAGGTTATAATATTCGTAATTACCTTACTAATCTTTAATTGTAATGTCGGGGCTCCGCCGATGGAAGACATGTATTATATCAATGGAACACACTAAAGCTTTTTATCAATTAGCAATTAGTTTTAGAACTACAATTATAGAATAATTATTATAAGATTATTATAGAATGAATATAGAATTAATAATTATTATAGAGTGAAAGGTTGTAAAAGACAAATATTTGTTAATGTTTAATATTTAATCTAAGAAAAAACATAACCCATATTGAAATCTAACGAATAGCCCCTGATAAATTTTGTGACTAAAAAA